TGCACACAAGCCTTGTTATATGAGCATTTGTCTTCATGTTTGAAGCAGAAGTGCACACTCTTATTTCAGTTTTAAAACGCAGCTAATTTTACTTGATCTCAGCTAATTTTACTTGATCTCAACGCACATTAGGACAGCAAAACTATAGCAAGCAAACTTTAAAACAAAACAAGAGAGTTAAATCCTGAACAAACAAACCACTCAAGACTATGGCAACATTACACATGAACAAACCTACAGCAGAGGTTTTCAAAGTAAGTCCCATGGAACCTCAAGGCTCCTCAGAAGGTTCTCAGAGGTTCCTCAGTGAGAAGGATCATGAATAGCAAATCAGTTTCCTCAAAAGGCATCACAGATCTTTCCCTGCAGTGGCCTCATCCAGCAGCCACAGAAGAGTCCTAAGTATGTTCTAGGTCAAGACAAGCTCTGGGTTTACATGGAGCAATGAAGAGGCCCAACTGATCTGGAAAGTACCTTGAATGAACTGAGTGTGGCCACCATGCTCCAGAATCATCTGCAACCATCTGCTTGGATTCCACAGCATCATTATGGATATAGGGTCCAAGGTACCAAGTTTGAAACCAGCTGTTGTACAGGACGGAGAAGTTGCTGCGTCTGGCATCAAAGAAGGCTGCTCAAAGCAGCTCAGCAATGAGCAAGGTTATTCCTTGGCTTCTGCAATGTTTATTTAAAGTTCTTTTGGATAAACCAGAGATCTGTATCAGCCAGATATTTCTAACAGGAAGCAGGACCTCATGCTCAAGCAGAATTAACAGAGCTCCCAACGGAGAAAACCTGAGAAATTAAATGCTATTTTTAAAAAAGCCCTTGAGCCTTCTTGGTCACAAACACACTGACGATTGCAAAGGCACGGCCAGCTCCTGTGGCTGCATCTGTGAGGCTTTGTCCCCACCGATACTCATCAGCAATTATCTTTTGCCAAACTGAAGATTTTTTTTTTTAAATCATAACAGAGAGCACCTTTTGGATTCACTTTTGTTGTCATTAACAGAACTGTGATCCTCTAACAACCTCCATTTTGTCAGCAGACACTGAGTCATCATTTAAGTTTGCACATGCTGCAAGGTATCAAAGTTAGTTTTAGTACTTCCTTTTCAAAAAGAAGAAAAAGAGGTCATTTTTCACTTAATTAATTACCAGAGCATGCAATCTTGTAACAGCGAGGCTACCTGTTTTCACTTAGTGAAGAAAAAAGTACCACGGGACTCCATGAGACTTGCTTCAACAAAAACATTCATGGGATTGCAATATAAAGGGAACTGAAATTAAAGTTCTCAGCTCCTGGGGTATCCCTCTCAGAACCAAGGTTTGTGAAGTTTGAAACACATGCACATGACTTCATAAGCTTCCTTTGTATTGACACCAGACTGACCTGGGAAACTGCTTGCTAGATGGGCCTCTCTCACATCAAAGGGCTGAGCTTAACCTTAAAATCAAGCAGCCAAGCTTGGGCTGTATAACTTCCCGGGAGAGCTGCAAAAGGGAAAGATGTAATGCTTCCCCCTCCCCCCCAAATCCCCAAACACAGAAAGCAAGAAAGGCAGGCAGAAGGGTTCGTTCCACGTTTCTCTCTGGTTATCTTTTCTATAGGAAAACAATATTTTCCTACCCACCCCACTCCCACAGCATCCACAGCTAGCCAGTCCCAAGATATTTTGCTACTCCAAGTTAGCTACATAATACAACCCAAGAGATGCACTTCAGGTAGCCTTTTAGTGGTGCAGAATGACAGGACACAACTCCGTCTCATGACACTCAACCAACTGCAGAAGAGGCCCAGTCTGCAGCATCATACGACCCCAAGAGCTGTGCTCCAGCATCCTTCAGAACAATGTAACAGATCCCAGGTACACCTCCCCTCATGTTCCAGTGCTCCCTTAAACTTACTGACAGCCCATGTGGTGCAGTGGTAAGGTGTCAAATTAAGACCTGGGAGACCCAGGTTCAAGTCCCCACTCTGCTAAGCAGTTTATTGGGTAACCCTTGGCAAGTCACTCTATGTCAGCCTAGCCTACCCCACAGTGTTGTGGAGAGACTAAACAGAGAAGGGACAGAGTGCCATATACCACCCTGAGCTCCTTGATGAAAGTGCAAAATAAAATGCATTAAATACGTAAATAAAAATACCTTATACCCAAAAAAGCCACCTTGGATAATGCACTCAAGCTGGCCCAGAAAGGAGTGGTAGGGAAATTACTAAGAGGCCTCTCAAGCTATGCTGGAAGCCCTTTGGGAAGGGTCCAAGATTGTTCTGGGCTTCACCTTGAGAAATAAGAGAGAAGCAGATGGAGCAGCAAAAGAGCCATCCAGTTCACTGAATCATATGTCAGACAGCACCTTGCACTGCTCTTACAGTGGCATTTTTTAAAATACCCCCCTCCCATAACAATACTTGAATGCTACTTTTTCCCATTCCAAATCTGTTTGGCAGTTTTTGTATGCATCCTGGCCATACAAACAGTTGTTGAAACCTAACCTTTCATTTATTAGGCATTACTTTTAAAGGCGTAGCCTCCCCATCCCAGAGATTTAAGGCAGGGAATTCACGCCTTCCTCTGCACTTAAACTCTGCTTGTAACTACAGGGAACAAAAAGACTAGACTAGCTGTGACTTGATCAAGGCACCTTAGCAGGCTCACTGCTCTGCTGGGATTGGAAGTCACATCTTGCATAAATGGTCACTGCAAATATTTCCAGTGCAGCAAAACAATAACACTTAGCTCTTTATATGGTGGATCAAAACATGCAAAGACCCCCATAGATATTATCTCAGTAATCCGCCCAACAACCCTGTAAAGCAGGCCAAAAGCATCATCTCCACACTACTGATGGGAGTTGATGCCGAACTTAGTGTGGACACCTGATTGGCATAGCTCACTGCAGCCCAGAACTCATGCAATCCGGGGGCCTCAGCCTCCCCAGCAGCCAGGATTACAGGCGCGATCCAGGTGCGACAGAGTCAAGAATGCAGCCAGCTAGCCCTCACCTGGATAGCCCAGGCAAGCCCAATCTTGTCAGATCTCGGAAGCTAAGCAGGGCCAACCCTGGCAAATACTTGAATGGGAGACCTCCAAGGAATACCAGGGCCAGGAGGCAGAGGCAGGCTATATCAAGCCACTTCTCTGAATGTCCTCTCCATGCCCCAGTAGGCATCGCCAGAAGTCAGCATGACTTTATTTATTTAACTTGTATCCCGCCCTACCTCACGAATGGGCTCAGGGAGGCTTGCAACACAATAAAAACAATAAAACCAAGATATAAAAACAGTTAAACAATTAAATGATTAAAACAAGATGGCATTAAACACAAGTAATCCAATGTCTCCTGTGATATTTTATCAGGTGATGGCAGATGGCCTGATTTATAACAGTTTTTGATCTAATGGTGGGAGGCGGTGTTCCCTCTAAACTGAGTTAGTGTGAGGTAGCTCAGTTTTTTAGCCTCCGGCTCACACACTTTTGTCTTAGCTCAGGAAGGACGGCTCCAGGGCAAACTAATTTATGCAATAGCCAAATTGCTCGCTCACAACTTTAATGCCAGTAGCTCACAAAGCAGAATTTTTGCTCACAAGACTCCACTGCTGAGAGGGCACATTGGTAAAATATAGTGCCCCATAGATAATAAACAGTGTCCAGGGGTCACTGGGCAGGTACCAAAAGACAGGGGAAGCTGAGATGGTTTAATGACCGCGGCCTCACCCAAAGGCCAGGTGGAACAGTTCTGTTTTACAGCCCTGCTTCCAGGCATGAGTACGTACACGCACAAAAAATACAAGAATACAGCCAGCTAGTGAGGCTCATGGAAGAGGCAAGTTTCTAACTCGGGACAACCTACAGACGTTTGCATAAGTGAGAGGGGTTTCCAATCACAGTATTAGTGATTGGATAAGAGCCATCAGAATTTTTCCTAATCTCTCTCACACTATACCATTTCCACACACTTGGGATTAGACACAGTTCAGATGCACTTGTACAGTTGCATGGGTTTGCTGTAAGGGTTCAGGAGGCAAAACATCAAGCTGCACCAGTAAGCACTGGCAGCAGAGAGTACAACCATTAGTCTGAGGTAAACCACATCTGAATGCGTGCATGCTTACTCAGAAGTAAGTCCTACTGTATTTAATGAAGCCTAGCCTCAAGTAAGCAAGCGCAAGTTCAGACCTTGGAGATGCATTTTTGCCCTTTAGTGAACAATGCAAATGGAATTCGGAGTTGTTTATTTAGGGTGATTTTCAAGAAGCATTTAAGGGAAGGCCAGATTAGAAACCGGACTTGTGCAGAACTTGTGTGGAGCAAACCTCTGTAGATGTGTGTATTAGTTAGAAAATGTACTGCTCAGTGTACTCAGTGTACTGCTGAATGTTCAGCTACAGATGCGAGCCTTCTTGGGAGCCGATTCAGAAAACAACAACAACTGCTGCTCTAGCCCTCCAAGTCACAAGCCAAGTCTTGAAAAACACAGAAATAAACTGATTATACGATAAACATTTTAAACATTTCAGTCAAGATCCAGAGGGGTAGCCGTGCTAGCAAGCTGCAGCAAGAATCGATTTAGTTTCAAGCGGTCTTAGTTGCACGTTGCATATACAGGCTAAAAGATGGGACATTTGACAGTCCTATTTAGAAAAGAGAAAGAGGGAGACGCGCTCGTCTGCACGCAGCCACTCTGAGACACGGCTATTTTGGAAACTGCTGGTAGCGCTCTGAAAGCCCTGCATCCGTTATAACAAGTATTCCCCGTGTGGTGGTGGTGGTGGCACAGTCTCCTCAGGGTAAGACCAGCCTTTCAACAATACGAACTGCTCCCCCTTCCATTCTCCGTTCTTCTTCTACAATGAAATCCCCGTCACAGAACATCCCCGTCCCGTGCAAACTCCGCAAGCCACCCCCAACGTCCCCGGTCAGTCGTTGCCGCCTTGCATTCGCACTCGCAACCTTTTCCTTCGGGCACACCTCCCTCCTGCCAGCCAGCCTCGCTACCTTTTCCTCGGAGTCAAGCTGTCCATCAGCATCCCGGCCGAGCCTCTGCCTCAGCTCAGACATTTTGGGGGGCCCAGCAACAGGCGCGGATGCTGTCACAGCCGCACCTTCAGCCCGTTCACCGCGCAGCAACCAAACGGCGGCACCAGCAGCGACAGCGCGAGTCGCCCAACAATCTCGCCAGGCCCGGGAATCGAGGCGGGCCCAAAGGGCGCCAGTCCAATAGGAGACCAGGAACTGTGGAGTGGGCGGGGCTCTCACTTTCGTGTGCTGCAACCTTCGCCCTGAGTGATGGCGACGTTCTCCAAGCACCGCTTCCACCACAGGTTGCCCGGATGCGGGTCACCCTCTGCTTTCTGATTGGCTTGGGTTTATGCTTTGGTTGCTACGACTTAGAGGCATCATCGCCCCCCTGAGAGCGGAAATTACTTGGGTTATTGGCAGCCACTCCTTTCTTTAAAAGCCTAGAACGGGTAACACTCTGGCGGGGCGATCTCACACTAGGAACTGGGCCTCGGTAACCTTTAAGAGTGGACTCCTCGGCCGGGAAAGCAGTGGCACCACCTCCATATAGGGGGTGATGGCAGTGGTCGCGTCTGAGATGATTCTTTATTATGCCAGTCTTGCAATACTAACTGCCTGTGGCCAAGCCCACACTCACCATATCCTGTATACATATGTGCCCCGCATAGGCCTAGCTCACACTTGAGGAAAAATGGTTTTCCTCTGGACACCCTGGGCTGCATTCATCACTTCTCTCAGAATAAACAACGGAATAAAATGGGACTTTCTTCTAAGTAGACCTGTTTAGGATTGCACCATGTGTATTCATACACACACAAGCTACACAAAGAACAATTGTTTTGTGCGCATAACCACCATGTGTATTAGTTAGCCCTATTTAAATCTGTGTCAAAATGTATCATTATTTAGGATGCCAGAAAACTAATTGTCCAGCTCTTTCTAACATGGCTGGAACTGATGTTGTTAGGTAGGCCTAAATTGGCATAGGATCAAGTTCTATGCACACTTTCTTGGGAATAATTTTCAAGGAAGGCCATGGAACTTACTCTGTGAAGAAACATGAGGCTCTTGCTTATTATTTCACTGATTTATAATAGTACTACATATAGCCCCTTTCAGAATTTAACATAGCATTGCTCTTTTTCACCCAACACAATGTGTTCACTTACCACCCTCCTTGCAAATAATCCCTTCCTGCTTGTAAAAATTAGTTGTGCAGGGTATAGCTGACAAGGGTTGTGACAGGGTATAGCATGACCCCCCAGCATGTTCTGTCCTCACTGCAAACAAACAAGGGACCTCTGCATAGGGGGAAGCCTGGTAGGTTCAGGCTGTAATTGTAAGCATATTATCAGGGGACAAGTTCCAAGGAACTCACTGAGAATTTCTTCTGACTGTACATGCTTACAATTGTGCTGCCAGGTAAGTCTGTTTTGTGTGCATGTATTTCAAAAAAGGAAACCACTGACAAATTACCCATCACTAGCTTGCAATAGATGGCTAAAAGGAGGGGCACATACAAATGCAACTAAAGCTTAAAAATAATTTGCACCAGTAGTCTGCAATTTCTCAGAGTAACTCTGGGATTTTCCAGAAACTCTGCAGGGGTTCATTAATTGAGATTACTAATGTTGCCTATACTAGTACTGTTCCTGTGCATGGTACAGCCCCATTAGAGGATGCGGTGTCTTCCAGGTTGCACTGTCAGTTCATAGGAGGCCTGAGAATCCAGGACAGTGTGCCGTGGAATCTCAATGCACATAGTAGAGTACACCCCATAGTGTAATCTAAAGCAGAGTTCTCCTGTTCTGTTAACATGGATTTTCTGGAAGCGGAATTTTTAAAAAATTGTATATATGGTTTTGTTATACAGCTGTGCTGGTACATGATAGTACACATGTTGACATTCTCCTCTGTACATTGATTACAGGCACAGAGGTCCTGATAAGTAATTGTATGTTGTAGGGGGCTTTTAATTGTAATTATAAGCAGGGGTCATTTTGTAGAAAAAGAGCTGCAGGAGCTCATTAGCATAACATTAGCATATGCCACACCCCCTGACATCACCGGAAGTGTGCACCAGCCTCTCACACAGGCAGAAACACCTGGGATCCATTCTTTCCCCCCTCTCCCTTCCATTCGCCTCCAAGTCGGGCGAAGGAAAAGGGGAGGGGGAGGATCTCAGGTGCTTCTGCCTGACAGTGGTGCTGGCGTGCCCACAGCCAGCCTGGGTGAATTATAGAATCATAGACTCATAGAGTGGGAAGGGACCTCCAGGGTCATCTAGTCCAACCCCCTGCACAATGCAGGAAATTCACCAATACCCCCCACACACCCCAGTGACCCCTGTTCCACGCCCAGAATATAATAAAAAAAACCTCCAGGATCACTGGGGGCCAAAATGGCCTGGAGA